ACACGAGCCCTGTACGTGTAGCTTGGTACTTTCTGGAATCAATACTACAAATTTTAAACTATACATTGTGAGTTGCAAACTTGCAAGTCTAGGGGTTATGGTTTATGTTCTCTCGTTTTCAGAACAAAAAAAAAAGGAAAAAATTTTGCATTTCTATCATTTAAGCTCGGGTTTTCTAATACGCGATTTTAGATGTAAAAGTACGCACCGCAGATAATTTGAACAGGACGAGGAGAGTATAAAGTGGGTAAATGGGTAGCCAAACAATTCCCATTTATCTGTTTAGCGCGCTCGAACAAATGGCGACCTCAATTTCCAATTCTCCATGCTCGTTGCTCTTTCATCCGCCTTCCTCTCAAGAACAAAGTAATTAACTCACCATCTAATTATGCGCATGTATACATACAATACATAAACTCGAGTAGTACGCAGGATGCAATGAATGTGCACTTTATTTGATTTGAATTATATGGAAAATGAAATTCAGTTCAAATGGGACTATAATGTGAAGATATGGAATTGGAATCGGGTTCTAATTCTCATGTTTGGAATCTTAAGATTATTCGGAGTGAAGGGAATCGAATGTTCACTGTTTACACCTTTAATTCGCACTGGTATTTAACTGCACAGATGATTTGTCGGTTCAAGTTTAGATATAATTGTGTAACTCTTCTCTTTATTCAAGTTGATGCTGGACTAATCTTCTATTTATTTGGTTTACTGGGAATAAGGTTAGCTTCTTGTTGTTTTCATTGATTAGGAAACAGTTGGCTGTATTCAGTACTCTTATATACGTTGGATATTTGGATTTGCTTTGTACATAGAGAAAATTGGTAGACCTGACTTTATGTGTTTCTTTTTTCTTCACTATCACGTGTCAGGATATTATAATTTGAGAAACCCGATTTTGAGAGTTTTAGCGTCTAAAGTAATTGGTAAACTGGATCGAAGAATGAGGGCTTTGCAAAACAATGAAGTTAATGCAGAAGTTGATCTTGAAGTTGGGAAGAAACTGTATCTTGGCATGGACTTCGGTACTTCTGGAGCTCGGTATGCTCTGATTGACAAGGAAGGGAATGTACATGCTGAGGGAAAGAGAGAGTACCCTTTGCTTCTGGTAAATTTTCTGTCACCGACGCACTCTGGAGTTTCAAAATGACTATTGTTGTGATTCTTTTAATCGCTTGACATTCTTATCCTCGTTGATAATGTTTGTCAGTTTATGCTTGCTTTGCTAATAAACCAATTACACATATGCTCTGTCTTTAAGATGAACTTACAAGCTCGTTTATGTTCTCTAGAAAGAGTGAAGAAACAGTAGATTGGTTGCAATCCTGGAAAATGACGCTATTTACACTTCTTAAAGATGTCCCAGTTAGTCTTCGCTCAACGGTTGTGTCCATTTCTATTGATGGAACTTCTGCAACCACTATCATTTTAGATAGGTTGGAACTGTAAACTTTGCAAATCCCTATCGACACTGTTTCTAGTTAACTTTACTACTGCCCTATTTAGCTTAACATAAAAAATTGTTCCCCAATGCAGCAAAACAGGTGAATCCTTATGTAAACCTTTTCTATATAATGAAAGTTGTGCCGATGCTTTGCCATCAGTGAAGTCGATTGCTCCTGCTAACCACACTGTTTGCTCTGGATCTTCTACACTTTGCAAACTTGTTTCTTGGTGGAACTCTGATAATTCAACTAAGGAATCAGCAGTATTGTTGCATCAAGCTGACTGGTTATTGTGGCTTCTTCATGGCAAGCTCGGATTGTCTGATTATAATAATGCTTTGAAGGCATCCTTGACTTAACCCTGCCATTTTTTGCTTTTCTTTCTTTTGTCTCAGACCAATCAGTATTACCGTGTCTAAAATTATGACGTAACAGGTTGGCTATGATCCTGAAGTTGAGTCGTATCCTCCTTGGCTGCTATTGCAACCATATTCACGAGTTTTACCTTCTATACAACCTCCAGGAACTGCTATTGGCGCCTTGAAAGAAAGCATCAGAACTGAGTATGGTACGTTGTTTATTTGATTTGTGGTAGTTAAATTCAAGGCCATGAACTTGTTTTGAAAGTTGCCCTTTTCTTTGTACACTTAGCATTGATATTTAACTTACCACCTTACCAATTTCACAAAAAGTATATATATTATAGACAATTTAACTTACATATAGCATCTACTTACACTATAAGTTGTCATTTGATAAATCTATCAAGTTAAATATTCCTAAAAGAGATTTGGAAATTCTCACGGCACATCCTTATGCAAGCTAAGCCGGCCACAAAATTGAACGTTTGAAGGATGTTCCGTTTGATATTATAATATATTTGCTTTATCATCAGAATAATCTTTTGCGCCTAAAATTATACAGTTAGATTGTGCTATTCCAAACCAAAGTATTTACCTTTTTCCCCAAAAGACATCCACACACAATACCTTTCGCATAACAGGGGCTGAAATCAGTATTTAAATTTGTAATTTGAACCTTTTTTCCTGAACTTCAAATTCAATGCTTTTGGGTTTGAAACTCTAACTATGTACATCTTCTTGGTAGGTTTCCCAAAGGATTGTATTATTTGCACTGGAACCACTGATAGTATAGCAGCCTTTCTTGCAGCACGTGCTAGTCAACCTGGAAAAGCTGTGAGATTTTTAGCCCCGTTTCACTGTTGTAGTTTTGATGCATTCTAATTAGGCTTCTAGACCCATTTTCTTGCTTAACGATCAGGTCAAGTTAAATATCTGGTAGATAAATCATTGAGTTGAATGAGTTCTTCTTATAGCTGTCTTCGGTTCATTGTATCCCCTAATATCAACATTACAATATGATCTAATTATGAGCATGCTCAGATGGAGCACTAGTTACTTTTGTAACGTACCACTGTTTCCTACCTCTTCACATAATTTTTGATGCTCGCGAATAGGTCACATCTTTGGGATCGACTCTGGCTATAAAACTATTAAGCACCAGAAGAGTAGAAGATGCACGTTTTGGAGTCTACAGCCACCGCCTTGATGATAAATGGCTTGTTGGGGGTGCTTCAAACACAGGTGGAGCTGTTCTCAGGCAAGTCTTTACAGATGAGCAGCTAGAGAAATTAAGTGAGCAGATAAATCCTACAGAAGCCTCTCCTCTTGATTATTATCCTCTGCAAGGTGTTGGAGAAAGATTTCCTATAGCAGACCCTGAAATGGAACCAAGGTAGTTTGAATAATGTTATTTATCATTATTATGATGGAATATCGTTCATATGACAGTTTATGTGGAATATTGAGATTGGTAAGTTTAATTTTTACGGGTGAGAGGGGGAGAAGAGATAGAAATGTGAGGGATAATGAGTTGTTATATCATCGATGTTCCATCATCATAATGATAAATAGTATTACTCAGGTAATTTTACTTCATTGTTCATTCTATTTTTAAGCGTACATCGGATGTACTGATAACCCAAGAGTTAAAAGTAGGATGATGGCATTACGGGGGACAGGGCTTTTCCTCAGGTTTAGTATCTCTTTCCTCTTTTGAACAGTAAAGGGAGACTGAACTTTATACTACACAATTTATAGTGAGAAATTCGTTAATCAATTGAAGTCATTGGCTCCAACATCAAGTTTGGCTCGATGACCATTCAAAAACTTCATAACATTTTAAGAGTTTCAATGATATGCCCCACAATGATAAGCCCTTAAAAATAAATTAGTGCTTCTACCACATCTCGTCCCAGAATTTATTACACAGTGAAAGGAAAGCTAGATCTAATGGGAATATATGCTTTTTGTGTGCTAAACAGAATAAATACTAGGGTTGTGAATGTTATAATCCTGAAACCAAGGATTATTATTTTAATAGTGTTTATGTGATTCTGGATCTAGGCTACCTCCTCGAACAAAAAGGCAAACAATCAAGCAAATTTAGAATATGAATCCAAGTTTAAGCTATCAGAGAGGGTCAAATATATATTCCATTTAAATCTTATCCTAATTTATTAGTTTCTCCTGGTTTTGTGAATGTAAATAATCCTATTAAACACTTTATTTAGATCCAATGTAAATAAGTAAAACTTTAGGTCCAATGTAAAGGTAGAATATTTGGAACCTTGTTTTCTTGCATGGCTTGTCCGTGTTTTGCGAGTAATAGCATTTTTCCTCCATTAGATTCACATATTTGGTATTTCTTCATTGCATTATTGCCATTTTCAGGTTGCATCCTCGCCCAGCAAGTGATGTTGAGTACTTGCATGGTATTCTAGAATCCATTGCTCGTATCGAGGTAAAAAAAGCCGAGTTCTACTTATTTTTCTCTTCAGGTTTCACACAATAGCAACGAGCTGATCAAATATCTGGTATTCATGTCACTTAGGCAAAGGGTTACAGCTTACTGAAGGATTTAGGGGCTACGCCGGTTGAAGAAGTTTTTACAGCTGGTGGCGGGTCAAAAAATGAGAAATGGATCAAGATCCGAGAGAGAGTTCTGGGTCTGCCTGTGAGCAAGGCACTTCAAACAGAAGCTGCCTATGGAGCTGCATTATTAGCAATGAAGGGTGCGGCAGAGTAGCAAGGTAGTCAGACAGCACAAAGATTGTTCTCTATGAAATCACGTTCACATATTCAAATTGTTCTTGGAAAACTGTAATTGTTACTTGTTAACTTATCTATCAATTCATATTAACTCATTTGTGTACTATTATTTTTCAGTTTTATGGTGCATGTGATACAATTTGTAGAATATTGGGCCAGACGACCTGTATAGCTCCCAATATTTCCATTTCTAGTTCTCAAAACAATAAAATGTAAAAGGAGAAGTATCAAAATTAACAATAGGGGTGTTCCGAGAATCGAACTCGGGACCTCTCGCACCCGAAGCGAGAATCATACCACTAGACCAAACACCCGCTTTTGATTTCGATTCGCTCTCATAAGGTATATTTATAATATTTTTTCTCCCAACACTATTTAATAGCACCCTGGGAAGAGCAGGCAAATTCAACCAGAAATGGGGACGTTATCTTCCTCCTCCGCTTCCCACCTAATACGCTGCCGTTTCATCCTCCGGCCGACTCCTCCCTATTTTCATTCTTCATTAAAACCCAAAACCAAACAGCCCCTCATCCTTCCCCTCCAAACTTCATCGTATTTTTCCACCCGAAATCTCGCCGCCTGTCCTCCCATCTCCACGCGCCGCCTCTTCTACTCTTCCACTCCTCTCTTGCACGAGCTCGCCAACGACAGTGTTGTTTTTCATAACGAACAAGACGATTTTGATGAGAATGGAAAAATTGAATCGAAGATAGATACTGTGAATATCGCCGTTAAAGAGGGCATAACGAGGGGTTTGGATTTGAATGCTCAGCGAATAAAGTCATCTAGTTCGAAGTTACCAACTCTTACTGTGAAAGAGAAGAAAGAATTGGCATCGTATGCTCACAGTTTGGGGAAAAAGCTTAAATCTCAACAGGTGGGAAAGTCTGGAGTGACAGACACCGTCGTCACCGCATTGATTGAAACCCTTGAAGCTAACGAGCTTCTCAAGGTACATGATTTCAGTTGATAGTATGTACTTGTGTATTTCTTTGTTTTAATTGGCAACATTATCGTGTTTACTCGTCAGGGTAGGAATCCATTTATTTATTTTTGTTTTGGGTTTAAATTTCCCTCTTTGAATCTTGTAAATTAATCACCGGGTAATTGAAAGCCAGGTGTGAATTCGCAGATATTATCTTATAAATTACTTATAAGTGGACAGAAGTAGGGGTGTTAAATGGTTGTGTTGAGCCACTCGGCTCTCCCCACAAGATCGCCCCCCTTTTTTAATTTTACAAAAAGTGTATATTTCTCTATATTTGACGAGCGGCTCGCACATGAGCCAACAAGCTCTCATGGCCAATTGCTGCTCGGCTTGTGGGGCGAGCTGAGCTATGTCTGCTCATTGTTCAATAAGTGAATTCTTCATTGTTTTTCTTATCTTCTTCTTATTGATTTAATCAATGTTCGTGACAGCTTAAAATACATTCTAATTGTCCCATGGAATTGGATGATGCTGTGAAGCAATTAGAGGAAGCGACTGGTTCTGTCGCTGTTAGTCAGATCGGTAGAACTGTAATTCTTTATAGGCCGAGCCTGACCAAGCTAAAGGAAGAAGAAGAGAAGAGGAGACGGGCTCAGGAGGTTTTTGCTAGAAAACAACGAGCATTGAATCGATCATCTCAGGTTCTTGTGACATTCTTCATTACTTATGTTTTTGTGCGTGAGAAGGTTTCTGACTTGGTGGCACTTGATGAAAATTGCAGAGTAGAAGACCAGTGGCAGTGGGAGCTCAAGAACAAAGACCACATGGTCGTGGTCGGCGTGGAAGTAGCAGATATTGAGGTTTTTTCATGTCGCTCCATCACCTCTCTACTTGTTATTCTATGATAGACCCTTTACGGTAGACGATTGGGGCGGAGAAATTTTGACAATTGGAGTTTTCTATGAGAAATAAATATTCATAATGCTGCAAGAATCGAATCATAATTGGATATATTCATGGGCAATAATGTGTATTCCTCGACGCGATTTGTATCGTTTCTATTGCCTAATACAATGCATTTTGCTTCTAAAATACGAAAGCTATTCCTATTGATGCCAATCCTTCAATTTTTCTTGAGGTTTCACAGAGAAATAGCTTCAATGGCAGAACAGGATTCTAGTATGGATTCCATGTACGGTTTGTCTATTCAGGATATTTGACTTCATAAACTATACAGTTTTCAGCTTCCCGACTTGATAACGAGTGGTGTCTTCAGAATAGAGAATCCCGTTTGGTAATGTGAGGCGATGTAGTGCAATAGAAAACCGGGCCTGGAGAGAGATAAGAGTTATTATCCAATCAGATGATTTGCCAGACTGTAAGGTAGTAGAAATATTGTAGCTGTATCCTTACCCATTGAAATGCAACGAGTACAAACCAACACCCAGTTAAACCATAACCGCTTCTTCTCAACAGCTATAATAATGAAGTAGAATGTTGTTAACGAAAAGGTAAAAAAAACAGTAAATTTAAAATAGAAATTTGAGAGCAGTACTGGACATGACTAAACGTTAAAGTAAGATATTAACTTTTTCTTTTTCCAAGTGATGTCCAATCAAATTGCCGTGAAAACAAAAGAAAGAAAGAAGCAAAAAACAGAGAGTGAAGAAAAGACGCGAAAGGCTGATAGAAGGTAAAATACAGAAGGAAATATAAGTCGAGCAGTCAAAACTAGTACACAAAAACAGAAATCACATACTAGAAGTAGAAGAGTGCCCAAACAAAAGATCGTGCTCATTGACATACTAATGAATTTTAAGTCTCGTCCAGCCTGCAGAATTAAGAAGCATCTATATTAGAATTCTGGTTTCTTTGTGATATTTGATATCCATAAAAGTAGAGACAGCAAAAGTCAGTGAATAAACTCAGAAGACGAGCAAAAGCGATGTTGCAGACAGGAAGAGTCTGAAACCCAGTATCATGAATTGTGTATTCATAGTTTCATACTCCCATCTTTGTTAGAGATAACCATTTCCTCAACCAATTTAGAAGGGATTTGGTGTAGGTAGAATAAACTTCGTCATTGGCTCAAAAGCCTAAAATGAAACCCATGGCAAATTTCTCTTCGCAGCATGGGAAAGGAAATGACAAGAAGGATGAGATAGGGCCCAACTTACCAACAATGTGCCTTCAAGGCTATGAGTACTAGGCGTGACACAGAGTGCAAGGAAGTATGGGATCAACACCTTGTGCATCTGCATCGTTTAAGATAAAACTCAATTGTGACAATTCCAGTGAATCACAAGACATAGGCATTTTTCTAATAACAGAGCAACCCAATCATTTACTAACTTCTGCAATGAAAACTGTTCTCTTTTACCTCCCAGATAAGTAAACCAACCTTTAGTCCACAAAACCATATGTTTCAATAGTCATATTGTTCAATTTCCAACATACATTACCTGCATATGAAATCTAGAGAACAAAAGAAGAGCAACTGACCTCCTGTACGACCTCAGGATCGGAAGAAAAAAGTTTAGGGAATAGCCATGGAACTGATGCTCCGATAGATCCCAATATCAGTCCGCATAATGCACCAATGATGACCAGGGACTTCAATAATGTTCGAGCCTGTTATTTACATTAAATTGTTCAGAAGAATACTTCAATATCAGAAAAGACAAGGAAAGAAAATACTTGACCATTATTTTCAGGAAATTCCAGTGGAACGAACTTCTAGAGATTATATGAACCAAACATGAATCTTCCTGTCACTTGTTATAATTACTACGGAAGTAACGTGACTGTTAAACTTATGAATGAAAAGCACAACCTTTGCTAAACTCCGATTAGCTCCATATATCAGTTCAGGCATAAATGACTGAGCTGTTTGAGAGAGAGGCTCACCCCATACAGTACACATGCAATACAATTGTATCATGACCTAAAGAAAGGGCAGTTAGCAACAATTTCCACGAGTTATCTGGAAAAGAAACCACGCCCATAGGAAAAAAAGATTATATGGAAAAACCTAACCTGATGAGCTGCAACAGTTCGTGTGCCCATTGATGTAGCGAAATAGACGAGTAGAGAGTAAAATGCTACCTGAACGATAATAAGTTAGCCTGATGATACGATTGTTCGGAAAAAAGCAACAGCAGCACAATCAAGAAAGGCATCACCATTCACGACAAACCTTTGACATCATTGTAACAAACACTGGAGCTGCAAGCATAAATATCTGAAGGAGTTCCTCGGGTGATGGAATAGAGATGGCAAAACCATTATATCCTTTCTTGTTTAGAGCTTTAATCATCACGTAACCCGCAACAACCTAAGACAAAACAGCATTAGAGGAAAAGTGAAGTGAACTAATTTTGTATCAGTTATAATGTCTATGTTCAGCAAACCTGTGACACCATTGTTGCCCATGCCGCTCCAGCAATACCATATCCTAAGAATCTGCATAAGATTATGTCACCAATGCCATTAATAGCACTTGCCACGGCCAAAGCCTTTAAAGGCCCCCACGAATCTTTCATCCCTAAGCTGTTCATCAAGAAAAAAGAAAAAAATAAAATTAATGAGTTTCAAAATCATGAATTTTTGGATGACACAAGTTGGAGTAAAGCTTGTTTAATCAAGCGAGCAAGTTGGGAGATACACATTTAACTTCAAGTTACGTATCACACCAACTCTTTAACAACTGACATACATGGTGACTCTTTAAGCCTTGGAAGTAGTAGAAAAGTTTCAATAGGCAGAGTCAGTTTTACGAAACAGTGCACTGATAGAACACAAAACCATAAGAATTTGTGAAAAAGGTCATCCACGGTAGATACGATATGGTTACATTGAAAACAGCTTCTCAAGAGAAAATTATACAAGCCCACATATGAGCGAAGAAGACAATTAAAAGAGAGACATTTGCTAAAGCTGAATTCTGATGGTACAACTTTGTGACTGGTAAGAAAAATTAGGGAAATTTGATAGCTAGAGTGTAGGAAAGTATTAGAATGTCACATAAGAAAAACCATAAAATTAACTGAACAATCCTGACTCCAACATGAATTAGGGACATCATGACCACAAATCTAGAGAAAACAATACAGAGCACAATCAGTAAATAAGTCTAGAAATGGCTGGTTTGGACCTGGCACTTTGAGCAACCCATCCAATCAGCACTGCTGGCCATGCTAAGCCTCGAATCTGGTAAAAGAAACAAGAATTACTTGCAAACAAAGACAAACTGATCCAAGGAGTGTACATTTTTGAGTTACGCTATCTGTACAGATTAATGACAGGTGCATGCGTGGCATGCATTTGTCTGTCGATTTGAATTTCAACGCACAGATGCATGTGTGAAGCTGTCTGTACAGATTATTTGTACAAACAGCTTGACTGCAAATTTTTCTTTAAATTAGCTACCTCATAACAAGGGGTCTCTAGAAATTGTAGAGACATTTTTCCACAGTAAATTTGAGAAAACTCTCGAATTACAAAAGGGAAAATAATTACTTCCAGCATGCAAAAATGTTCAATCTCTTGAAGCAATTGGCCACGTGAAGTTTCTAGTCTGACGATTCTATTACTCAATGAACACTGAGCACCTTAAGAGTTTAAAAGCATTTGCGTGAAAACAAATCTTTAACTTTTAAGCATCTGTAAAAAGTGACTTCTCTTGAATGAAACTTCATTTAGGCATTCTGTTTCAATACTGGGGGGCGGCTAATGGAACTGTCCCAATCCACACAATCATTCCACATTAACACCAAGTAACAGTATGCATGCATTGGCTACAAAAATAGTGCTGAAAGAGTAAAGAGCTTGCTATTCAAAAGTATTAATATCAATGCCACCAGAAGAGGTATTTTATTGATACTTTAGTACCATATTAAAAGAACCGCATAATTTACTCATAAACCAAACAAAGTCATAAAAACAGAACTACACAATTCTATGAATATTTAACAACTTAGCTAGAGATGAAGTGAACCTGAACATATGTATTCGCTGCAGCTATGATCTCTGCATTATTTCTCCCGGCAAAAGCTGGAAAGGAACAATATACAATATAATCAGCAATAATATAATATGAAGACTGCTAAATAATACATTAGAAATGCTACACTACACTTGATTTCCTATTTACCAGTTAGTGCTGAGGGGCCATAAAATCTAGTGAAGAAAAGCATCAGAAAACCACCAGCCAATCCAATGAACAAGAAGATAGAAATCTGATGCTGCACCTCATTTTTATCCTGCATTGTTAAACTATATATTTTCATATAAATATGCCACTTGAACATAATCAGAAATTTCAAAATTCCATTGCTACAACTTTAATAAATCAGTAGGTATTATTTGGTAACTGACCTGTCTAGCAAGAGATGTAGCTACCATATTTGAAGTAGCAATCGATAAGAACATGAAAACATAACTTGCATTATCGCAAAACACTGTTCCTGGCCCTGCCAAATTACCATGAACAAGAACAAAAATTCAGTTCATAATCAAACTACTGATAAAGAAATAGAAAAATCAACGTGTTTATACCTAAAGCTGCAAGCTCAACGGAGCTGCCTTGGCCAATAACAGCAGTGTCAATTAGACTCATCATCGGCCCGCAAATCCAAAGCCCAACTGCCGGTCCAGAGAACTTTACAATCTCCACCATTTGACTCCATATGCTCTCATTCTCTGAAAACTCCTGTATTTCAGTTCCAGCAGACTCTTCAATAGATGGCATTTTCTCTACTATTTCTTCTTCCTCTTCGTCTGTGACTTGAGAAATGCTTTGAGCATTCTCTAATTCACGGATTGGACCAATGCAATTCGTTATTAACCTGTTGCTTTTGGGATTCAAATTTCGGTAACTAGTCTTCCGCAAAATAATTTTTCGATCGATTTTTTTGTTGAGGGTTTGGAAACTAGGAAGTGGAAGGTGGTGAGCTAGGGTTTTGAGATTCATATTCCTTAAAAAATTATAGGGATGACTGTAATGCTAAGAGAATGGGATCAAGAAAGAAGGAAAACTGTGAGTAGGTGGAAAAGGGTCACGTGTTTTAGGCAAATAATAACGTCCTCCTCCTCCTCCTCCTCCCCCCTCTCGCTCTCTCTCTCTCTCTAATAATTATTTTTTTAGCCAAAAATACAGAAGAAAATAGAAGGGAAAAGAAATAAGATATATATTTCAGGGTAATTAGCAGAAATGATCCCAACGTTTACACTCTTTGCTAAAATGGTCCCTATCATTTTAAAATTGGCATTTGTACCCTTATTTCAAACGTTTCTTGCGGAATTGGTCCTTTCATCGATAAACCGTTAAACATCCGTTAGAACATTTTGGTAATTTGCAGAAATTGTCTCTATGGAATATAATTTAATATAATTTTGGAACGGCC